TAGTAGGTAGTAGGTAGTAGGTAGTACGTAGTACATAGTACGTAGTACGTAGTACGTAGTAAGTAGTAAGTAGTAAGTACTAAGTAGTAAGTAGTAAGTAGTAAGTAGCAAGTAGCAAGTAGTAAGTAGTATGTAGTAGTGCCAGTAGCAGTAGTAGCAGGTTGTGGTCGTCGTCGTCACAGGAGGAACAGCAGCACAACAATAGTCATGCCCAAAACACAGTGCTCTCTAAATCAAGCAGAATGGACACAAGTTTCCCCAAAGCTGCCTCGGCCTCCTCTGGCGCAGGGCTTTGCAGCGGAAGGGGGACCTGTGCCCGGAAGTTTTGTGCTGCATCCAATGTTGGGAATTCAGGGACCCCTGCCGGCACTCTTGCCTCCACAGCGGTTGGAAGAGCGTTTCCCGCCATCCATGCACCCACAAGCTCCAGAGCCTGGCATCGAAGTGCGGTACTTGGTGAGCGCTCCTTTACGGATCCAGCTCTCATCGGGCCTCATTGACGGTCGTTAGCCGTCCTTCCAGGTCGACCTGAATCGAGACAAGCATGAAACGGGACTGCACTCAACTTGAACATGAAAGTGTACTGTTCACGTCGTGATATCGTTGTCAGTACCGGTCCTACATTCGCTATCGTCGCAGTGCAGCAATGTGCAGCAGAAGCAGAAGCAGCAGGAGAGTCAGTCAAAAGACTGCGAACAGAAAGACCGAGGGTGGAAAACTTTCATTCTCTGATGCAGCAAGGGGCCTGCTCTTGCTGCTTCTGTGCCACCGCCTCTTTAGAGGCCTGCAGGCATTTCTCTGCCTGGCGGGCCGCGCTCTGCATGGACTCCTGCCAAGGGTTTGATGCGTCTTGACAGCTTTACGTATTTTCTGGCTGTGACCTTCTAGCTTTAGGCCTACCGAGTGGGTCACGCACCCGCGGGCAAAATCGCTCCTTGGAAGCCGCACCAGCATCCGCCGCCTGAGAATGTGTCGGACTCCGGTGCTCCCAGGAGCCCACGGACCCCTACATCAATATGGCAACTTGAATGCTAAGCTTCATTCCGCACTGAACGGTGCAGCACCGAAAACGAGGCCTCGCGGCGCTGGCACGCTCGCTGCCTCGTCGCAGTGAGCAGAGCCTGAGAGAAGCTGAAACTCAGAGGACGCCAAGGGCGCCTTCGTGTGTGTAAAGCTTGCATGATCATGCTTCGATTGCTGGCACTTCCCTTCCTTGTAAATTGCATATCTCGCCCTCACATCATCGGCCTCGATGCCCAGTATTGTCGCCTCTGCCTGCGGATGCTTATCGGCAACCAGGTGAGACTGCTCTGCACACACACCCCTAAAATCATCGAAGTAGCCGAAGCATTGTATGCCAGCATGCTTTTTCGGCCTCCATCTCGAGCCGCGACTGCTGAACCAGCTCTTGGTCGGCCGCTGCGAGCTGCTGGCGGAAGAAATTGCCAACTCCTTCGACCGCCTCGACCGATGTGTGGCCATACGGCCATACGGCATGCCCGCATACTTTCGTGAACTGGGTGTCAGGCAACAACGTGAAAGCTGCTCCGCTCGTCCGGCTTCTTCTTGAGTGCCAGGGTCGCCGCAGTCAGCAAGGAATTTTCAGCCCCTGGCACGGCATCTCGATAGTCAGACAGCTGTCCATCTGAAACCCCGTGATTATGACACGATGCAAACCGAACCGGATGAAAGGCATGCTGAAGGCAAAGGCCCACCTGTGTCAAGGAGGTGCTGCTGCAAGGCAGCGAAGCACTCCCACCACTCCTCGACAAACATGCAGGAAAACTGCTCCGCAGCCGGCTCGTAGGCTTTATGCCCTTAGCCTTTTGGATGCTGGCCGCCTTTTCTCCCCTCAGCACCCCCTATCCGAACCTCCCTAAGTTAATTCAATAATCATTGCGATTAATGTCGTGGGTTGTTCTTGCTCACGGCTCGCGGGCGCTGACCACTGCAACGCATGAAGGCATGCAGGAGGAGGAGGAGGAGGTCAAGGACGAGGACGAGTACGAGGGCGACGACAACCATGAAGATGAAGGTGATGATGGTATTTGTATTGCCCGCTCCGGTGGGGATGGCCTTCTGATAGGAAACCTCTGTTCGCTTATCCCACCCCCCCCCCCCTCAGGCAGCGGGAATGCGCTGACCCAAACCTCTCGCAAATGATAGCCATTGCACCTGCAGCTACAAGACAAACCCTGAACCACTGCTACCATACTGAGCCGAAGCTTGGAGCTCGAGGACGCAGGGCACATGTTTAGGGCCGACACTCGTAACTAAGTATGAAACGATCTCCAACACCTTTTGACCCAGAAGACAATTCCACAGCCAAAATGATTCGTCCGAGGCTTCAACTGGGCACAGAAACAACCCTCGCTCCAACAGGTCGCCTGGACCAGTGGGAACGCACCTACTTCGGAAGACCAGAACTTAGAACTCTTCAACGAACCAAGCGACAGGACAGCCTAAAGCCAACAAGTTAAACTTAAAGCGATGACCGCTTAGACTCAACATGACTCAACAAACTCTTCAACCCGCAGACTCAGACAACGCCTACGCCTGACAGGGACAGTGGCGCGATGCCGTCCTAAGCAAATTCTTCAACATTGAAGGATGCGGACAAAGCTGCTTGACGGGTTGTATCGAGCATGGTCGGTGNNTTTCAGGTTGTCTCGGACGCCGTCGGGCTTACCGAATTGATCGGTTGATCAGATTTTCTGGAGCACGGTCGGATCTTTTGGTGTGATGCCATGTGCACAGGGAGTTTTGGAGATCTTTTGGTCGCGGCTGTCTTGGTCAGTCTGGAATCTCGCTTGAAGTAAAGGTGCTTGAAGGGTTTTCGGTGTTTGGCGGGTTGCGGCAGCCCGGTCGAGCAACGCAGGCTTATCGGGATTCCGGAGCGCTTGGTCTGCCTGGTTTTAGCTTGCAACCTACGTTGTACTGATAGCGGTGACAACAATGAATCATTGAGTGATGATGAAGAGGACNNGGTGATGATGGTGGTGGTGGTGTTGATTCCAATGGTGATGCCGACTCATGATGGGGAGGAGGAGGAGGAGGTGATGATGATGATGATGATGGTGATGATGGCGAGGTCGAACAGACCCGGAATTGTTCCGCATGCTGGGACCTGTGGTCTGGCTTATCGGATACTCAGCTGTTGATGAGGGTGATGACGGTGGTGATGATGATGGTGATGAGGTGATCTTGATGATGCTGCTGCCGGTGCTGAAGTACCGAACGAAGAGGAGGCGTAGGCGGAGGACTGGTCGTGGTAATGGCCGAACAACCAGAATCCCAACACCTGCTCTTGCACATCCCCCTTTATATGCCATGACCACCAACACCATCGGCACAACCAGCACCACCGTCGCTGTCATCATCGTCGTGAGAACTCGCAGCACACTACCCGACTTAGAGCACGTTTCAAGTTAAGCCACAACTCCCATAACTACTCATGGACTCCTCCTCACGGGCCCAAGTGCCCTCGGCGAGGCATTTCAGGGATGCTTCGGCGTCCGAGGCCTTCAAACGGCGCTTTTGCAATGCCGCCGTCTCCTGTGGCCGAGAGGCGTAAACGCTTCGTGGCGGCTCATTGAGCGGAATGTCTGACAGGGAAACGCGAGGCTCGAAGCCTGGATAACGTCCTTGGCAAGGCCCCGCTTTCGCTCGAGTTCCTGTGAAGGGAGAGGGAGGCACTTTCGCTGAGACTAAGTTGAAACCGTAAACGCATTACTAAACTCTACACCCAGAAACCTGAGTCCTGCTCTGTCTCGGCCACTTCAGTTTCTGTGTCTTTGGCTGCTGCCTGCGAGGCTGAGTGACATGAATGGCGACGGTCGGTCACGAATGGTCGCGCAACGCAACGGACAGAGCAGAATCACTTGGCCCCTGGTTTTGTTCCACCTGCTTTCGTTTCGGAGGATGCTTACAAGAATGGGACCGGGGCCTCTGCAGCAGCGGCCGAATGGCACGCAGAGACTTCCGAGGCGAGAGCAGCTGTGGTCTTCGAGTCCTGTCCGCTAAGACACTATCTCTAGACCTAGAGATCTAGATTCACTCTAGATTAGATACCCCCTGTCTGTATGAAAGCCTATCTATCTTTCCATGTATCCTTGCCTGTACATTTTAACTATATCTGTGTTTGTTTGTATCTACATCTATATGTATGTATGCATGTATGTATGTATGTATGTATGTATGTACGTAGGTAGGTATGTATGTATTAATTTATGCAATGTAATGTAATGTCATGTAATGCAATGTCATGTAGTGTAATGTATGCATGCATGCACGTATGTAAAAGTAAATGCATGAACCAATCTAACAAGGAAATATAATTCATAAACATTGGTATCACAATCGTGGGTAGTATATAACTCTATATAACTGTTTTTTCGCTCTCGCTCTGCCGAGGCAGCCAGGTAACCATGGCCAGCCTCCTCAGGCAAAGAACAGTCAACCGAATATCACATTACATCACGTTAACATATATACTAAACCATTTTCGATCAGATTGTACTATGTTCTCCATTAAACCAGTATGTGTTGTACTGAAACATTTGAGCTGTATGTGGTTATGGTATATATAGTATATGTATATATATATATGGGCATATATATATATGTATATACATATACGTACGAAAAATATGTGTATATATATATACATATACATACCTGTGTATGTACACAATATAGGTATATCTGTATATGAAGACATACCCACATACAACATACACACGTGCATGCACACATACATACATGCATGCATACATACGTACAGACATACATACATCCTTACATACACATACATACATGCATACATACATACATGCATACATAAATACACACTTACTGACTTACTTACTTACTTACCTACTTACTTACTTGCCTACTTGCTTACTTACTTGCTTGCTTGCTTCCTTACTTACTTACTTACTTACTTACTTACTTACTTTTTTACTTACTTAGTTTTTTGCTTACTTGGTTTTTTACTTACTTACTATTACTTAATCACTTACTTACTTACCTACTTACTTACGTACTTACATGAAGTTTTTCATGTGAGCATCAACAGACATCTATTGCAATTTGGTCTTAGATTCGATTCTAAATCATCATAAGGCTGTCAATATGTGTGCACTGCTGCGTGCCTGGGCTGCCAAGTGCATCTCCGCTTCTTGCAGAGACTCCTGCCACAGCAGGTTAGGCATTATGCCGCACAGCTACAGGCAGCCGGGAGAGTTTGACTGATGCGGCGAAAAGTGGCCTCAACGGTGACCTTGGCAGCCTCCAGCTTGCTTTTGCCATCCAGAAGTGCATCCCGCACTATACCGAGTAAGCGCACCTGCAGCTGGGGCAATGTTGTGGACATGTGCCCTTACGAAGCTTCTGCGCTTGTTGTTGGCTATGCGCTGTGCCTGATGCGGATGCAACCTTGGCTGCTGACTGCTCTTCGAACCGGTGACCTAGACTCCTAGACTGCACATGACCGCACGGTGACGGCCGAGTGGCGTCGCGTCACCATCTGTGGAGGTGGAATGATGCAAGCTCTCCTGACATGCGCAGGCCTGATACCAACAGACAGGCGCAGACCCTTACAGCAGCCAAGCTTCAATTAGCATTTGCCGCGCTGGCAAAGGGTAGTCATCAAGCCGAAGAATCTCCTGACGGCAACTAGCAATCCAGCGAATTGGACCGGACTTCTCAAGCCTCAAACCGCTTGAGAATCTTGCTTTCCTCTTTTCCATCGCCAAGGTTGGAAGGGTGCCATCTTTGGGCTGTTTAAGCTTCTTTCTTGCTTACAGCTAACGAAAGCGAAGCCGCAGAGGTTGCGAAAAAATCCGGTCTCAGCTTGCCACTGGCGTGGCGGACGTCATCAATGGATGTCACACCAGAGAGCACCAAGAGGGTGCGCATGCCTCCCGACGACAAACAAAACGAAACTATGACTCGATTGGTGTTGCCCCAATAGCCCAAGCCTGCCAAGTTTCCGAAGGCGATATCAGTATCCAGTCCTGCAGAATTCCAGTACTGAGTACTGAGGCCAGGCACTTCCCGGGTTACGTGCAGGCAGGCGGCTGTCGCCCACCATCACCATTCTCCGAGCTGGAGGTGAGCCCAGTGATGCTCGGATGATCTGCGCGAATTCCATGCTGGGCTTGCCTCGCAGCGTGCAGACAGACAGAGAGGCGGACAGACAGAACATGCGAAAGACTCTGTCAAACCAGGCACTCATGCGTAGCAACAGTCTGCTTCGGGCTTCGGGGTCCTGCCACAGCATCTGCCCCTCTCTCACCGGTGCGCCCGGCAGCAGCGGCGATGGCCGCAACCACGGAGCCGGCGCCAGGCCACTGCTGGGAGCCGGGGCCCAGCTGCCCGAAAAGGTCCTCTCAGAGTCGTCACCAGGTCATTCTCTGCCAGCTGACGTTGGTGTGTCAGATGTCAAGCGGCTGCGAAGTGCTATGCAGAACGGTCACTCTGAACTGAAGCACAGCATTACATCTTGAATCGCATGCTACATGGCAGGTTTCGTCATTTCTTGCCGTGACAGGTATCGTCTCGGAAAAACCCATCGTTGACAATCTTGCAGCGGCTAGCACTGCATGTGCATGGAACCAGTGTATGCTTTAGCACCATGGTGTCCCGACCTTTATTGCATTGGGCTACAAGGCTTCTACTTCTCGCGGCATCTCGCTGGTGTGTATGAGACTTGTGAACAGACATTGTAAAGATGTGCATGTGTCCATAAATCAGCGTATAATATGCGCATAGAATGGACGGACGGAGAGGGTGAGGCTCAGAGACAACGATCGAGAACGAGCGAGAGGGAGAGAAAACAAAAAGCAAAACTGTGTGCACTCGCATGTGTGCTTGCTGTTTGCATTGTGTGTCTTTTGCTCATGCATGCATGCATGCATGCATGCATGCATGCATGCATGCATGCAGGCAGGCAGGCAGGCAGGCAGGCAGGCAGGCAAGCAGCCTGTCCATCTACCAGTGATTGATTACCTGTTTGTCCGCGTGTATATGCGCCGACCGAAGGCGTTTACAGCTCCAGCTTTGGTACGAGTGCGTATGATGCAAGGTGACAAAAAAAAACACCTGCACGTACATCCACATGCTCTCCTGTCGGTGTATGCATGATGAACGGATGCGTGCAGATAAGGTTTGTCTGTGTGTGTGGGTGTGCGATTGCGTGGCTGGGGCGGGCAGGGGTCTTTCCACCTGGGAAGAAGGATCGCAGTGCGAACAAGCGGCATCGTTGGACGCAAACAAGGGCAGTCCATGCCGAACTAAATGGGCCGCGATGGCGATCTTGTAGTAGTTCACGTGCTGGTCCAGGCCTGCAGTGTGTTTATGCACTGCCTCAACCCTCCATTCGAGCGTGCTTATGTCAATGAGAAGTTGCCGACAAGGGCAAAATCAAGAGACAACGACAAGAGAATCATCAACTGAAGGTGTCTGTGGCTGCGACCACAAACAACGGCACCACTACCTTAGGAGGAACGCATGCTGCCAGCTTGGCCTTTTGCTCCAAGATATTCCAACATCAGAAACCAGTTCTGGTCCAAGCAACTGTTTCCTTCGCCTAGCCTCGGTGGGAGAAAAATATGACGTGCAACAACTGAGCTGTATCACAAAAAAATCATCAGCCGCAGGCTCATTGATTGCTTCAGCAATGTCTTCCTTGGTCTTGCCTGTGAAAGGCTTGAAAGAGCGTTTCTGACTTGCCGAGCAGTCTTGCCGCAAAGGATGTGCACAAATTCGGAGCCGGCAAGGACGTGACACAAAGATTTTTGCTCTCGGAGATTCAGTGCCTCAAGACAATTAATATACCAGCAAGAAACATTGTTACATTCCGTGAGACACGAAGAAAACTGCAACAGACTAGCAGAGCACTGGGCAGGGAACGGTGACGCACGGACGGACGGAATAGGAATGAATACGTTTATATTATATGTGTATGTATGTGTCCGCACATGTAAATATAGGTAAGTATGTATATATATATATATCCTGGCGCT